AAAAAAAAAAAGAAGCCACCTCATAAATGGCATGAAGTTTGCAGCATTTCTACTTGCCCTTGCCTAGTCCTCTTTCCAGAATGGCAATAGTCTTGGTCTTGAGCAGTGGCAGTCTAATTATCAGTTCTTCTCTTTAACCAGAAGAAACCCAATAGGCCTTATTGCAAATTACTGAGTATATATGTTCTAACTTATCTGGGGGATTCCTTCAGGATTGTTGCAGGCAGCTTCTTTCTGCTTCGTATAATTTAGAACACAGGTGAAAAAGATGGCAGATACCCAGTTTGAAAAGCTACAAAGGGGATTACAAACATAGACACCTGGGAAAAAAGAGTTAATGGGGAGTGCTACAATTTAACTATAGTTTGAGTGGATCTCCCAAGGTTTCATATGTTGAAATTTAATACCCATTGAGAGGTATTAAGGGAAACAGTTCAACTATGGTATTTAGAGGTGGGGCCTTACAGAGGGATGATTAGGATTAAAGTTATCAGAGTAGATTGATTCCTAGTGGCTTTATAAGGAGACAGTCAAGAAGACACATACATGTGCTCCCTCTCTTAGCACTTGACGCTCTGCACCATGATGGGACTCTGTTGGCAAGGAGGCCATCTTCCTGATGCAGCTCCTTGACCTGGGACCTCCTCAATTATGAACCAAAATAAACCTCTTCCCCTTATAACCTTACCAGTCTGTAGTACTATGTTACTGGCATCAGAAAAGGACTATTCCAGAGTGCTGGAATGCAGAAGTGTGGCTATTGTAATAATGAACACCTGAAAATGTCGAAGTGTCTTTGGAGCTGGTTAACAGATAGAGGTGGGAAGAGTTTGGAGGAGCAGGCCAGAAAAAGTCTAAACTGCTCTAAGCAAAGCATTATGGGTGATTCTGGTATAGGGTTAGGAGACAAGAAGTTAGGAAACTAGTCTCAGAAATGAAGATTGTACAGGAAACTGGAAAAAAGGTCATCCTTGTTGTACCATGGCAAAGCATCTGGCTACACTGTGCCTATGTTCAGATTTTAAAGCTTTCCAAACAAAGCATTCAGGCTACAGCATGGATACTATTGGGTGATTTTATTCAGATTACACTGAGACTCAGGAGCAAAAGGAAGCAGAACAGAAAGATTTCAAAAATCTCTGGGCTGGCCAGGGAAGGAAAAAACATGTAACAGTGTGATTGAGAAACAACTTGCTGAGGTTGTTTGTTCAGGTAAAAGGAAGACAATAGCTTTACATCAGGACAATGGGAAAAAGGCCTGGAGAGCAATCTCAGAAATCTTCAAGCCTGTTCTTCCTATCACATGCCCAGGGACCAACCAGGGCCAAATTGTTTCATGGAACCCTGGGGTACTCAGGGCCTTCTGTCCAAGTCCAAGGCTACTTTGGGATTCTACTCCTTGATTTTAGGCAAAGTGCCCCATGGCTGCAGCCATTCAAACAGCCTAGTACAGCCTGTGCCAACGTTTGGAACGGGAATCTTTACATTATCCCAATCTTGCTTTAGATCGATTATTCCTTTTTACCTGCCTACCCCTCCCTTTTGGAATGGAAATCATTACAGTATGCCTGTCCCACCACTGTATCTTGGAGGGAGATAACTTGTTTTGATTTTACAGGTTCATAACTGCAAATTCTTTGCCTCAATCAGTGATGGTGAGCCTTTCAGAGATGGGAGCCCAAACTGCAACTCAAAGTCCACTTACTTATCACAAAGTGTCAACACTGCAATTAAAACTGAACACTGAGGTTTTAGTTTAGAAAAAACAATTCATACGTTAACATCTTTTGTCTTAAAAGAAAAACAACAAGTGTGCCCTAGGTTTGCCATCACTGGGCTAGATTCTCAAAGGAGACTATGGAAC